TTCACCTTCCACCATTCCATACCATTCATTCTTTATTACTCCTTTACTCCTTTCTAACTATTCCTTCGTCCCTGTTCCATCCTCTCCACCGTCCACCTCCCCCTCCCTATCCCATCCACAACCCCCCCCCCCCTCGCCAACTCTGAGGTCTTTCTCAAGTGCATTTAATTACATTTGCATAACTGAGTTTATCTTAAACTATCAACGACACGATGAAACACAAAGCAGCGTTTTGGAGGCATCATCCCAAGACGCTCTGGGACAGGCTGCGACTGGACTTGACGAGGGAAACAAAATCCCAGAATGATCTGGATAAAGAACGTCAATTGAGAACACATTGTGAATTGAAGCAGGATGAGCTATGTATCGGGGCTCATCCCAGCATTACTCAGTAAGAGACTGCAATAGTTCCAAAACACACAACGGTGGAATGCATCACACTTGGAGGTATTGGTGCCTGACGCACTGGGATTGAACACAAAGATCAACCACACACATATATACACACACACACACACTCATACACACACACACACACTCATACACACACACACTCATACACACACACACTCACACACACACACACACACACACACACACACACACACACACACAAACACACACACACACACACACACACATATACACACACACACACATGCACATGAGGAAGCTGAGTGCCCAAATTAGCCACAGAGACATTAGAAAGAACTTTTTCAGTGTCAGAGTGGTTAGTAAATGGAATGCACTAGGAAATGATGTGGTGGAGACAGATGACTGAATATGACTGAATATTCACATTATATTTCGAGCTGTTTTCACTTGTGACGAGAGAGAGAGAGAGAGAGAGAGAGAGAGAGAGAGAGAGAGAGAGAGAGAGAGAGAGAGAGAGAGAGAGAGAGAGAGAGTGGGGTGGGTGGAAGATAGGTACGTCATAGTGCCAGTGACACCACCATGAATGGTGCCATCGAGTGCCAGGGTGAGATGGGACGAGGGCACTCAGGGACCTCGGCCTTCGTCCTGCCTTACCCATTCATGAATAATAATGAACTATGAATATCTTAGCTTACTACTGGCCATACTTCCTACCCCCCCCCCCCTCTCTCTCCCTTATCTTCTCCACCCCGTTCTCTTTCATCTCCTTTCCCCCCCCCCCCCCATCCTTCTCTCTTCCATTTTGTCCATTTAATCTTCTTTCATTTCTTTTCTCCCTTTCTGTTTTTCACAAGAAATTCCCCTTGCAAAGTTATATTTACAAAATTAGAGATAAGTATTGAACATATCTTAATCATGTTCCTTTCAATTATCTCTTTAGAAATAGCATAACGTTTGAGCACTCTGTCGGCGCTGCATGCTCAAGCACTGGTCGAACGTATGTAATAAACAATATTTTTTGAGGTACTTTGTCTAGATTCATGATAGATTTCCTGATGTTCACCAGCTTAGCAAGGACGTCTGAAGGAAGTTTATCTTTATCAATCTCAACTGATAGGTTCAGTGATATGTCCACGCCCAGGTTAACTTCTCTAAACTCTTGGGTTCTTCTCATTCGTTGTGAATTTTCATTCAGCTGCATTTCACCTGTTCCAAACCCTCATCAACTTGCACTTGTTTTGGTTGAAATCCAATAGCCACTTGTTCGTCTACTTCCAGAATCCAAAGTCTTCTCAGAGATTTATTGAGTGAATCCACGCTCGTCCTGAGATATATATATATATATATATATATATATATATATATATATATATATATATATATATATATATATATATATATATAAAAAAATAAAATACACGTGAGAGGGATGTAAAGATATAGAGCAAGAGAGAGAGAGATAAAGCAACAACAGAGGAGTAATTGGGTATTGAACGCTGCTCGTTTGACAGATCATGCCAAAGGCTGCCGGACCCCACCACCACTACCCTCACACTCTCTAGCTTTGTGTGGGGCAGCTACAGCACAATCTTTTACAGCGAACGTAAGGTAGCTATCAGGAGACAGCATTAAGCCGTTACGACAATATAGCTGAACGTTAAATAAACTACAGCGAACGTAGAGGAGAAACTGCACGTTCTGACTTAAATAACTCGACGTTTTTTTTCCTATAGTGGGAAAGGTGCGGTTTCTGTTCCGTGTTGTTGAGTTGGCGAGGGGGAGAGGGGGTTGGGAAAGAAGAGGAGGGGAATAAAAAAAGGGAGAGAGGGAAATGAATGAGTGAAAGGGGAAATGGAAGAGAGGAAGGGGAATAGGAATGTAAGGTGATAAATAATGGTGGATAATGGAAGAGGGAGGGGAGAGGGGAATTTAACAGGCAGCAGGAATTAAAGCTTGACAGTGTTGGGTAAAGCTTGACATAACTGCTTGAAGCTTAACAGTATTGCCTAATTTTGAAAGACAGTAATTTAAAGGATGCATTAACAAGCAACTCTTGAAATTTCGTCGTTGAAACTTTTCATCTAAATTTCAGAGACGAGGCATTAAATAACGAAATAAAGGGAGAAAAACTATTTGAGAGCAGATTCCTGGGTATTACAGACAGTGTGTAGAAACAAAGAGAGAGTGAGACAGAAAAAGAGAGACAGTGAGACAGAAACACAGATAGACAGAGAGGAACTACTCGGAGCGTAGCGAGAGCTTGAAGCCTTGACCATTCTTGTCTATTGTACAACCCATTGCTTTATACACAGCCTCGAACGAAACATTTCTCATGAAACTATTCCAACAACAAACATTATGTTGTAAATGTTTCATGTGTTGACATGACAACGATGTCAATATTGAGGTGACAGGTTATATTTACATTTTATAATTTTTAGTTTTGACTATTTTATTTTAACATTACTGTTGTCACTATCGTTATCAGTAATAAATTTAATAATGATTGTTATTATTTGGCATTTTTTTTATTTCAATGCATTTTTAATATTATTTTAGTGACATTTCTATTATAATTTTCAATGCAAAGATCCGATTAAAATCTTCTTTACATGAATGATAGGAATTTTTTTTTACTCTTCATTGTAAGGCAAGTTTATATCCACCCAGTTCCCCAATGAAAGCCGACGGAGCCTCTCATCCTTCCTCCTTCACGAATTCCGAGGGAAGTGAAATGTTCAGCCTGAATTCCGTAGACTTTATCATTGTATAAAAAATGATATAGTTGCATTATTATTATTGTAACCATTTGGTTGCAGTGATGGTGAAAAGAGGAGGGAAAGGTAGGTTGGGAGGTGGAGAGGTAGGTGAGAGTTAGAGAGCTGGGTGGGGATTGTGGAAAGGAAGGAAGAAGGGATGTTTGAAGAGGAGGGGTGGATAGGAAAGTTGGGGATATGTGTGGAAGGGAGATGAAGGGGAAGTGCAACAAGGGAGAGTATACATATGTATATAAATAAGTTGCATTTATTTTTATTATACGCAGCCAGATGTGCACATAAACTGAAATTTTACTTTAGTCCGAAACTATGTTTAGGGATAAAGTATTCTCGCTGGTCTGAAAGCGTTAGTGGCGGGCTTAATAATCCTCCAGAGACTTTACTAGACCTTGTTGCCAGAGCAACGGCTTAGCATCATTCATTGTTTGAGAAAAATCGCGTATTTGTGTCTGTGTGGGTAAACTCATTTGTGTGTGAGTCTGGATAAACTCGCGTATTTGTGTCTGGAGTAAACTCATGTATTTATGCCTTTTATGTGTGCTTTTATCTATATAATACGTTTATTATTAAATATTGCAGGAGCCTTTTACAGGGTCTGGCACAAGTGACTCGTGTCTAAGCTTAAAAAGCAAATTTAGGTAATATAAATTTGTGTTTGGTTTCTTGAAACTTACTTAAGCATTCAAATGTTTCAGTCTGTGTTTAATAATTATTTTCTCAAGATGAAATTACATGGGTTCTTGGTTCAAAATCAAAATGAAAGTGATAATTACAGTGGGGGGAATTGATAATTACAGTGGAAATAATGATAATTACAGTGGGGATAATAATGATTTCCAATTCTTATCTCCTCTTTCCATGCCTTGTTTATTTCTCTCAATCCTTCTACCCTCAATCCTTCTCTACCTCCATCCCACTTCCATCCTCACTTCTCCACCCAATTCCCTTCGACTCTCTTCCCCCCACCTCAAAAAAACCTCAAGTTAATTAAACAAATTAGATATAGCAGACTTCCTCATTCCACTAATTGAAGTCTCTCTCTAATTCTTTCTAATTAGCTTTCCAGTTCTCAATCTCCACAGTTATGAGAGCAAAGTTCCTGATGAGAATTTCTACAACAGTTAACCAAGTTCTCAGTAAGTCTCAGCGTGATCTTGTGATGAGGTGGTGGGTAGTGTGTGAGGTGGTGGTGGGTAGTGTGTGGAGGTGGTGGGTAGTGTGTGGAGGTGGTGACGAGTGTGTGTGAGCAAGACTTTGAGGTGGGTGATTGTAAAGAGGTGGATTAGAGAGAGCGTGGGTTACGAGTCACGGGAAGAGTGGATTGGCCACACAAATACTGTATTGGTTACGAATGTACCTTACGCGTCACGGAAGTATCGAACTGGTCAGAAACAAAAGGGTTCTTATATATTAAACCGGATTGTAAGAACAAACGTACCCCCAGTGCTCACGAGGATAAAGTGCCCCGCACCTCTCACTAACAATGGAAGTGCCCCGCACCTCTCACCAACAACGGAAGTGCCCCGCTCCTCTCACCAACAACGGAAGTGCCCCGCACCTCTCACCAACAACGGAAGTGCCCCCACACCTCTCCCAAGATCCTGACACGCCACTGCTTTTTGCTAGTCTGTAGAGCATAATATCCTAAACGGAAACAACATATCCATGCTGTTAAAGAACTGAGAATCCTACACGGTACCCTCATGCAATCCATCTGTTGGAGGTTTGCGAACAGAAGCGGACACGCAGACTACAAAAATACACAGACGAGAATAAAGAAAAATATTACTTCCCACAAGACATCCTCTCACGCAAACGTTCACTTCTGCATGGATGGAAAAACCTCACGCGAGGCCAAAATGTGTTGAGCGTGAAAGCTGGCAATATATACGGCACGAGAGGGCAATATCTAGTGGAATATTACCAATCCTACACTTGTATAGAACCCCACGCATCTCGTCCTTCATTTGTGTTTTGTTTATATCTTGCCGGCAGGGTCGTCCTCGTACCCATCTTGCCGGCAGGGTCCTCCTCGTACCCATCTTGCCGGCAGGGTCGTCCTCGTACCCATCTTGACGGCATGGGAACCCTCGTACCCATCTTGCCGGCAGGGTCGTCCTCGTACCCATCTTGCCGGCAGGGTCCTCCTCGTACCCATCTTGCCGGCAGGGTCGTTCTCGTACCCATCTTGCCGGCAGGGTCGTCCTCGTACCCATCTTGCCGGCAGGGTCGTCCTCGTACCCATCTTGACGGCAGGGTCGTCCTCGTACCCATCTTGCCGGCAGGGTCCTCCTCGTACCCATCTTGCCGGCAGGGTCGTTCTCGTACCCATCTTGCCGGCAGGGTCGTCCTCGTACCCATCTTGCCGGCAGGGTCGTCCTCGTACCCATCTTGACGGCAGGGTCGTCCTCGTACCCATCTTGACGGCATGGGAACCCTCGTACCCATCTTGCCGGCAGGGTCGTCCTCGTACCCATCTTGCCGGCAGGGTCCTCCTCGTACCCATCTTGCCGGCAGGGTCCTCCTCGTACCCATCTTGCCGGCAGGGTCGTCCTCGTACCCATCTTGACGGCAGGGTCGTCCTCGTACCCATCTTGACGGCATGGGAATCCTCGTTCTCATCTTGACGGCAGGTAAAAAGAGTCTAGCAACGTCTTAGACACCGAAAGGCCGCACTCCATCTTGATTTGCAGAAAACATATATAAAATATTCATTGTCAAACAAATATCCGATTCGCACGATATCGTCGCCTGATGTCCTTCATAGACGTATGAAATCTAAAGTTACAGAGCGCGCATCGGCGCGGCCTCACAGCACAGGACACACCTACACCTCCCCCACACCCCTCCCAACCACACCTTCCCCTCCCTCACTTACATCCACCACACACACGAAGAGAAGGAAAAAACTCCTTTATTAAACTTCCGATCTCTCGACATCTGGCTACACATCACACGTGCAAAAATAAAAGGCAAAAAAAAAAGTTATATTGGAGGAAGCATAAATATTCTCAAGCACTACCTATCCATCAGAGCACCATCAGCAAGTCATTATCTGCAAATTTCTAAACTCAAAGAGGTGATATTCGCCAATAAATGTGAAGCGGGTGGACAGGTGTTTGTGTGAATATTTCAGAAACATGGAAACGACTCCACTGTGTGATTTGAGCAATTAAGAAAATTAAACAAATATCCCTTCATTAACATAAATGTGTGCTGGATTAACATATTAAGTTTGACGCTGGCAACGACTAAAGGGCCAGCCTCACCCAAGCCCAGCAGTGAGGGGACCTGTAAGCGGACGAACGTGGCTGAAGATATGTTGACCAGACCACACACCAGAAGATGAGGAGACGACGATGTTTCGGTCCGCCCTGGACCATTATCAAGTCGATTGTCTTGATAACGTCACTCTGTTGACTGTCACAATCGACTTGATAATGGTCCTTAACGGACCGAAACGTCGTCGTCTTTACATCTTCTGGTGTGTGGTTTGGCCATCATATTTTCAGCCACGTTATTGTGATTCATCGTCTGCATATAAATATATAATATGCGAACAAGCTTGAATGGTCTCCAAGCATATATGCAACTGAAAACTCCACACCCATAAGTGACTCGAACCCAGACTGCCAGGAGCACAATGCAACTGGTGTACATTGTACGTTATCCACTCGACCATCAGTGACCGTACAAAAGACAATGATAGCCGAGACTATTTGATCACCGTCCCGAAGTCACTTTGATGGTAATCTTGGGCACAGTTATTTCATCAAATTCGCATTTGTGTTGCTCACGTGGCCTCACAAAGTGAGGTGATTTGATTAAATAACTGTGCCCAAGATTACCATCAAAGTGCCGTCGGAACGGTGGTCAAATAGCCTCGGCTATCATCGTCTTTTGTACGGTCACTGATGGTCGAGTGGATAAGGTACATATATACATACACGCGAACTATCTCTTATTAATGATGATGGCCACATATGGGGTGACACAAATACTAGTGAGGTGGCTCTTAACATTATTAGAAACCGAGAACGTAGCTCTAAATTAGACATTCTAATTACTGGGCTCGATCTTCTTTTTTGCTCAAACTTTTCTGCAATAATTTATTTAGAGCTTTCCTGCAAGCCTGGTCTGCATCTTTTGCAACATGATTTGCTTAATGCTTCTGAATGTCTCTCTTGAATTAAATTCCTAAGCTTTATTCTAATTTGTTTGCCAGAAGTCTCCGGGAAACTACAAAAGTCTCTTCAATACAACACGTCTTGCCCGTGACTCATGCAAAATTGCGTACTGGGCGCTCTAGACTCCACTGAAAATTGCACGAATCTTGCAAGTTCTGCTTTCGTCTCTTACCACCTGTTGACCACCTTTAAGCTCCATATATTTTGCATTGTATGGCCTAAACCCTTGCAAGCCGAGCGTTCATGATTCTTGCAACAGCGTCCCGGAATTACCAATAATCCCCGTCTCGGCGTTGAAACCCCTTGCAAGTTGAGCTCGTATATTTTGCAACACCGTCTCATAAATGTCAATAGACTGCTTTCACCACTTCGAGGCCGCTATCAGCCCTTGTAAATTTTGCCGTGATGCTTTACCTGGCTCTCCATAACCCATCCACGTTACCTGAGAGTCCTCTATTTCAAGCCACGCTCATTGCACGACCCTTGCAACCTCTGCTCTTACCTCTGGCAACGTCGTACTCAAAGTGGCTATATATCCCCCCCTTCCCTCCCACTGTTACATAACTCCATGCATGTTTATATCGTATCTAACAGAGCATATTATGAACGCCTTAGAGTTCTTAAAATGCACGATTGTTGCAAGGACTTCTGCTAGAGTTCATACTGCGTTCTTTTCAGCTCCATGTATCTCTCTTCTTAATACTGGTAATTCACCACCAAGCAATTAGTTGTATCATCTCTCTTCATCAGCATGAGACTCCTACAAGCAACCCAATATCTCTTTCACAATGCTGCCACCCCATGGTCTAACGCTGCAGAAGCCTCGGGCCCCGTGGCACCCACATTCTCTCCTCAACCAGTAGCATCGTAGGAGTCTCGACAGCAGTCCTCATATCTCCGGAACCATCGTTCTCGGTACCAACACAGGCAGCGGGACACGATGAGCAAGAGATGAGGGTTAATAACGTCCTTCGTTCCCAGAGAGATAAAATTATTGATCAAGAAATGTCTGCCATTGGCGTTCTGTTTCCCATCCAGACAGCGGGAGTCTGGTACTCCCACTAGCGTTCTGTCCCCCGTAGTGACAGCGAGAGAAGGTGAATAAGAGATGGCTGTTAGAGACTCGCCAATCATAACTTGGGCCACTGTTGCCGTGAATATTGTAGGTGTTGGCTGCCTCTGAGGCTGGCCAGGATACCTCAACCCGGCGTCGTCTGTTTAATCAACCATTCGGTGCGGTGAGGGTGGTGGTGTGTGGTGAAGGTGGTGGTGTGTGGTGAGTGTGGTGTTTGGTGAGGGTGGTGGTGTGTGGTGAGGGTGGTGGTGTGTGGTGAGGGTGGTGGTGTGTGGGTGTGGTGGTGGTGTGTGGTGAGTGTGGTGTTTGGTGAGGGTGGTGGTGTGTGTGAGTGTGGTGTTTGGTGAGGTGGTGTTTGGTGAGGGTGGTGGTGTGTGGTGAGTGTGGTGTTGGTGAGGGTGTGTGGTGAGGGTGGTGGTGTGTGGTGAAGGTGGTGGTGTGTGGTGAGTGTGGTGTTTGGTGAGGGTGGTGGTGTGTGGTGAGGGTGGTGGTGTTTGGTGAGGGTGGTGGTGTGTGGTGAGTGTGGTGTTTGGTGAGGGTGGTGGTGTGTGGTGCTATGTGTGAGCCATGTCTCTGCTCCACAAGTGAGATGTTCGATTTTCTAGTTCTCTGTAGACTCAGGTTTGATACGCTTATATTCAACAGTGAAACCAAAGTGATGCATTGGTAAATAATGTTTAACACGGTGCTGTTAGAGTCTTGCAACAAGAATGTCTTCGAACGTCTTCCAAATAACAGAGAATAAAGAGAAATTGGTCTCCGAAACCCCTATTGATGGCTTGCTTGTCTTTTGGGTATGAACCTCTGTTATGTGTGTTAGTGAAGACGAACTTCACTCTCATTGTAATAAGACCAAATTGAATTACTCAGATTAGGCAAAATTTGTAAATAATTTTGTCAATAAACATGTTAATACTCCTTTTCCTGCAGGCCAGGAAGAGGGCTGCATTGTTGGTTACTTGTGGATGCTTACGTCTTTCATATCAGATCCTAGAACTTTGCTATCATGTGTGAAAAGGAAGGAGGGGGAATTATTATGAGAACGGGCCTAGCCATTACGACTAAATAGCACTTGGAAGGGATCAGGAAAAGAATTTGGGATGGGACGAGACGGAAAGGAAGGGAAGTATCAGGAGAGAGCCAAGCCATTACGACTATATAGCACGTGGAAGGGGTCGGATAAGGATTTGGAATGGGACGGGGGAAAGGAATGGTGCCCAATCACTTGGACAGTCGGGGATTGAATGCCGACCTGTATGAAACGAGACCGTCGCTCTACCGTCCAGCCCAAGTTGTTGGGGGACGAGATGGAGGGATAAGGAATGATGCCAAATCACTCGGACAGTCGGGATTGAACGCCGACCTGCATGAAGTGAGATTGTCTCTCTACCTGGAAGGGAGTCTTATATTTTTAGTTTGTATTTCGTGATGCTCTCTCTTACCAAATGCGGGAATTGGTAAGAGAGGAAGTGCTGGGGAAGAGCGGTCTGACTCGCATTTTGAATGCTAAGACGCCAGAAGTTTGGTCTTCTCTGCAGCATTTGTGAGTAGTGAATCATCAAGTTTGCAAAATCCTTTCTTATATTTTATTTTTCTCCGTTAAGATATACTGCCCACTGACCGACCTGGTAATCTGTTTCCTTAAGACCTCTTTCTATCTATTAAATGTCACTTTTGATATTTGTTTCGTATAGACGATCTTCTTTTAGATTGGTATTTTTTTTATTACAACTCGAGACTGCAATTTTATACACGTATTTAAACCAGGTTTGGTCACTCAGATTACTTCTGTTGATTCCTTTGCAGAAGGGGGGGACTATCAGGGGAAAGCGCCAAGCGATTACGACTATATAGCACTGGGAAGGGGTCAGGATAAGGATTTGGGATGGGACGAAGGGGAAGGAATGGTACCCAACCACTTGGACGGTCGGGGATTGAACGCCGCCCTGCATGAAGCGAGACCGTCGCTCTACCGTTCATCCCAAGTGGTTAAAAATAGCCATCTAAAGTCTCAGTACCTGGGAAGTAAGACACTTATCCACAGGGTTGGAAATCTAACAGAAAAACATTCCAGATTCATTCTGAAGAATGTTGTACAATCCCTGTTGATCTCTAGTGCTCGAGGCAGAGATGTTGTGATGCCTCACACAGTCTTCGTTGTGATGTGTGGGAACACCACTTAACATTTTTTTTCCATAATACTCTCGTTACTGGCCTAGTCGCTGAAGGATAGAACTATAATAATACTGTTCGATGATCTCTACTAGTGTGGGAAAGTTTGACATTTAATTCTGCGTTAATT